TAATTCTACTTATAGAATCAAAAAGAATAAAATACTTAGGAATAAATTTAGCCTGGGAGATACAAGACTTCTACATTGAAAATGAAAACTCCTACTGGAAGGAATTAAAGAAAATCTAAATAAGATTATTATCAATTATTATTATTAATAAACACATTCTGCATTCACAGATTGGGATACTTAATATCGCTAAGATGGCAACACTACTTACTGATCTATAGGTCCAATGCAGTCCCTTTCAAAACCCCAACAGTCTTTTTTCCTTCTTTTTGCAGAAATGGAAAAGCTGGTTCTAAAATTTATCTGAAATTCCAAAGGACCCAGAATAGCCAAAAGAGTCCTAAGATAGGACAGAGTTAGAAGACACATACCTCCTGATTTCAGAACTCACTATAGAGCTACAGTGCCAGCATAAATACAGACATACAGAACCAAAAGGAATTGAGAGCCCAGAACTAAGCCCACATATCTACAGCCAGTTGGTTTTTCACAAATGTACCAGAACCATCCGGTAGGGGAAAGAAGAGTCTTCAATAGTGGTGCTGGGACAACCGGTAATCTACATGCAGAAGAACAAAGTTGGACCCTTAGTTTGCACGGTATACCCAGCATCGCCTGCTACTTGCCAAATGCCCATCCTTGGTTCTTCCTGCTACTTCTGTCCACCCATGCCTCCCCCTCCTGTCTTGGCTGGGCACCCACTAGGTGTCTCGTACTGTCTACTGTCCAGGACCCACCTGAAGGTAGATGCAGAGCTCTTACTGTCACAAAGCTCACATAAACTAGGACAGAGAACAGACATGCAGGGAAAGGATAAACCCTATAAACATTGCAGACAGGTGAGGACCCTGGAGAAATGAGCGGGGTCCTTTGTGGTAGCCTCACAGAGGGATGGATGTCTAAGCCAGGCCTAGATGATGAGCTGGCTAGCCTTTGTTCCAGTGAGGTTCAAGGCTTCAGGGCTCCGGGGCGGGGTGGGGGGTGGTGGTGGTGAGGCCGATGCCCTGGAGGCAGATGATCAAGGCACGCAGTCAGGACAGGCATCTGGGGTCAGCCCCCTGCAGGGCTGGCGTGGGAGGACCACTCCCTTTGCTGCTGTGGACAGAGGATAGGATGGTAGGTGTGGGGAGAGCAGGGATCTGGGCCTGACATTGAACTTTTGATTGCTGAGGCATCCATTTCAAAGACCTCTATCTGGAATAAACATATTTGCAGCTGTGTGACACAGCTTCTAGCAAAAACAAAACAAAAAACAAACATAATGAACTGGGCTGTCCCCACTCATGGGGGTCCCTTTTTCAGAAAGCTCTCAGTTGGGGTGACCCGCTCCACCCTACTAACATCTTAATTCCCATTCTTCTGCTTTAAATTAGCCAATAAAGACCATATCTCTGAGCCCCTAGACAGCCTCCCCCCATAAAGGCTGAGCCCCTGGTGCACACGCTGTCTCCCAGGGCTCTCCCTCTTGGGCCCCAGAGCATCAAGATCTATAAATAGGCTGCAGTGGGCACGACACTCCTCCACATCCAGGTTCACTGCTGGGCGGGCGGGAGGATACGTCATGGACTAAGATGGGGAGAGGTTTGTTCTGTTCAGTTATTTTCTGGACACCCGCCATTAGAGACTTCAAGTGGAAATACTGGGTCTGTCTTCATCCTGCGCTTCCACCCGGTGACTGGAGAGGGCCAGCTGCAGCAAAGAGGAGAGCTGGGCTCCTGCTGGATCCCATCTGGGCTTCAGTGCCCCACACGCAGCCCTGTCCCAGCGAGCTCCCAGGCTCCCTTCCCTCAGTGCACATCTCTCACCTGCCGGGAGCTTCCTTTCCCAAGGAATGAAGCCCAGTGTTGAGGCAGCAGCACGCAGATATCCCTCAGTCCCAGCCACCTGCTACTCCAACTACCTCCCTGTCCATAGGACCCCAGCCTGGCCTGATGCAAAACATGTACACGACTCCCTTGCTGAAAATGATAGGGAACCTAAAGATGGCGACAGCAAAGCATTAACACCAGCCTGGACCTTCCAGGCTTGAGGCCCTGGGGGTTGCATGGGTCCACCAAGGACCAGACACAAAAGCTTTCTGGCTCCTTCGTTCCTGGAACAGTGAGTTCCAAGGGCCACTTTATCTGCCTTGCCCGTCTTCATTATTTCACAGGAACCTGGGAACGAGACTCCATGACATCATTCAGTGCCTTCCAACCGGGACTATGCTCTGGCCTCTGCAAAACACGACATGCGAAACTTTCCTGAACGAGTCAGCCCGCTCCCTGCGGGCAGTGTGGAGACCTGGGAACCCTGTTTTCTGTAGATTTCAAGGCTTTTCTGAACCTTAGGCCTGAAGACACCCTCATCACAGCCCCCATGCTAGGCCCTGAGGGTTGACATTCCTCCAGATGTGATGCGGTCTACACTTCTGTTGACATTACTGGAAAAGAGGGCGCCCCAGTCCATGGGACTGGGAGGATGGCAATTCCCCACAGGGTCACAGGGGCAAGAAAGCACGCGGACAAACCCCTGCAGCGGGCAGGGGGCCAGGGAGAGAGATGGTGTCAATTCACCTGCAGACCTTCCAGCTATTTGAGACCCCTCTGCTGTGCTCTCTCCTACACCCGTTCTGTGACAACTGTGGACCGAGGCAGCAGTCTCCACAACCAGCCCGTGGGCCTCCAGGACAGGTCTGTGTCCCATGGACTGGATGCAGGGGAGGACTGGACAGGACCTGGTGGGGGGGCATGGTCCACAGTATCTCGTGTGGGCCAAGACCCGGGGTCCTTCTGAGGGAGAGGCAAACAAGTGCAAAGCTACAGGCCAGATGGACACATGGTAAGATGGAGAAATCCTCAACTACCGACTGAGTGAGAAAAGTGAGGCGGACAGAGGCGTGCAGCACAATGACATTTATGTAAAACAAAGAAAAACACAGGTGTGTGATATGACAATGCGCACGGGCAGGACATGTGCAGGCAGGGGCTTGCTCAGATGGCCTGGGGTGCTGCTGGTGGGGAGAGGGAATGGAGCAGGAGCAGGTGGGGGTGGTGGGAGTAGTGCTGGGTGGACGCGGCACTCTGAGTCCCAAAGGAAAAAGAAGCATGATCCTTGGGCACTGAGCCACGGAGACATTGGCCAGAACCCAAACCCAACACCTGCTCCCCCCCGGCAACCACTTGCTCTTCGGAGTGAGGCCCGTCCCCTCACCTTCCTGTTGCGACATCTCTATGAGGTCCTCCACCAGGGTAGCGGCCTCCTTGCAGGTGCGGGGGCCCTGCGACTGCACCCAGGTCCTCATCTTGCTGGGCAGCGCTCCCAGGAACTGCTCCAGCACCAGCAGCTCCATGATCTGCTCCTTCGAGTGTGCCTCGGGCCGCAGCCACTGGCGCAACAGCATCCAGAGATGGCCCAGTGCATGGTGTGGCCCGCCTGCCACACGGTACTGGAACTGTCGGAAACGCAAGCGGCAGGCCTCAGTATCCCCAGGGTTGGGTGGCTCAGGAGCCCCATCCTGCTGCCCCGGGGCCGGGATCTGGGTATTCCTGTGGGAGGCGAGGGCTTTGGGCAACCGGAGCATCTCTCCGGCCTCCGAGGGCAAGCAGGCTGGATCCCAGGACCGTCCCAGCAGCTCCAGACAAACCCAGGTGGCAGCAGGTGGATGCAGTCAGCAGTCAGGGGCCTGCAGAAAGGGGCAGGCGCAAAGTGGCCACATCACATGGTGGCCACCACCTTGCTCAGCACTCCCCTCACTATCTCCTTGCCAGACCTCTAGTTCCCAAGGAACTGATCCGAGCCCTCCCCATCTCATTCTGACCTAATCTCCTTCCATATGACACTCACGGGTTACATTGGGTTGAAGACAAGGCACTGGTCACCCCAGGATCTTTGTATGCACTGTTCCTACCCACACTCCTCTCTGATGTTGATCCCAGCCCAACTGTCACCACAGCAGCATGTCACCATGCTTTGGCACAGGCCATCATCCTCGTCTCCTGGTCTTTAGTGTGCTGTCTTCATGACTCTTACCTCGTCATGAACATACCCCATTTCCTTACTTAGCATACGTCTGCTTCCTTCACTCACTTCGTCATTCACACGGTTTGCTGAGCTTCGAGGGGAACAGGATTCCTGCCCTGGTGGAGTAGCTGACTGCCCAGCACAACTCCCTATGGGGTTGGAAATGCTCTCCTTCTGTGCCATCCTGCCTGGTAGCTGCCAGCTAATATGTGGCTCCTAAGCACTAGAAATAAGGAACTGGACTTTCAATTCCCTTTAAATGGAAACAGCCAAATATGCTACATAATAGCACAACAGAAGCTTCCTGCCTGCCTATGCTGTCTTTCTTGGCTTTTCCACTAACTTAATGCTGAGGGAGGAGGCGGTGAGGACAACGGGGGAAAGAGACTAAAAACAGAGGGAAAGTGGGAAGGGCAGTGAAAAAATAGCATTTTGTGCATTTTCCAAGCTTCCTATAGTGAACATCCAACTGAAGAGAACGTTAAAGTTGTAAAAATAAAAATGAGATTTTTTCTTTCTTTTTTTTAAACACTTGTTCTCTGTGCTGATCCAATAGTGAAAGTACAAACTGGCACGACCTTTCTGGAAAGCACCATGGCAGCTTGTATATCAAGACCATTCTGGAAGTTCGCGTGCTGTGGAATTTATCTGAAATTGGGACAAAGATTTAGGCACCAAGAATCACAACAGAAGTGCCCAACAGTCAAGCCTGGCGAGATCAACTACCCTCCCATCACATGGTGGAGAACTTATGACTGCAAAACGCACGGTAACATAACATGCTCAAAGCAGGCAGACGTGACATACAGATGGTATGAGGTACAGGGTAAAGTGGGATGCAAATGACATATGAGGGTCCCAAAAAGGGACGCCGGGAGAGCCCCAAAGGCGCCCAGCCAAGTGTTACATTCTTCATACTTCTCTTAATCTCCCCCAAATGGTATTTTGATCATGTTTGACCTTCATCATGAAGAAAAAAAAAAAAAGGAACAAAAACATTTAGGAAGGATTTTTAATGACATGGGAAATGCTTATGACAAGTGAAAAGTGGAGGAGTAGTCCATGTGACTTTTTCCTTCTTGATCCTCTGGAGAACTTTCATGTGCACGTGTGTGGGTTTTACAATCAGGAACGAGAGGTGTACACACGCACGGAGGGCGACTCACGAGGGCCGTGCCCTGCCAGCGATCTTCCCGCCGCTTCTTCCACCGGCAGCCCGACTGGGCGTTTACAAGCTCCGTCACCCCTGCTGAGACCACAGGCAAAAACACTCTTATTCTGTAGTTTCATATGTGTATTTTTGAAAGGAAAAAAAAGGGGGGACCCGTTTCGCAGCCTCACAGGTTCAAGCAGTCCTTCCTTCTGCTCTGGGATCTCAGACCTTACCCTTCTCTCCAGTGAGCCGGAAAGTGTGCCCCAGGCAGATTCCAGGGTGGAGAATCGAAGCTCCTCAGCACCCTCCAGAGTCCCGGGATGAAGTCTATGTGGGGAGAAGCTGAGTTGATGGGGGCTCTAGAGGGGGTCAAGTGGGGCTCCTAGCGGAAAGCGCGTGAGGCCTATGGGCGGGTGTCTGGGGCCCATGTTGGAGGGGGGATGATATCCTCATGTGGGGGTCTGGACCATATTGGGGAACCCAGGCTGAGGAGGGGGCCTGGAAGATGTAGGGATCTTAAGCTGATGAGGGTGGGCTTGAGGTCTGCATGGGGAGTGGCGTGGTCTTGGGGTCTTGGAGATCCGCTCTGGGGGTGATGAGGATTGATGCTAGGGGGTCTCTGAGTGTCACCTGCAGGGCTCAAAGCCACGTGAACAGGCCGGGCTTACCTGCGCTGGGCACGGAGGTCTGACGCGGACACTATGTCAGGTTCTGGGCTGCTGGCTGGTGGGGGGAGGGGGAGCTTGGGCTGGGCCGAGAGGGGTCTGGAGTGGACAAACGAGGGTGGAGGGACTGTCTTTCCCGGCTAAGGGGGAGGGGAGATGCCACCGGGGCTGGGCGGAACGGCGCGCCGCGGCCCCCTGCCCCCCTCCCCCTCGCCCCCCCCCTCCCCCCGCCTGGCGTGCGATGCTCGCCCGCCTCCCTCATCCCCAGGGACCTCGCGGCCTCGCGACGGCTTCCCCGACCCGGCTCGGCTCCGCCGCCGACCTCGGGTTGCGTGCGCCTCCCGCCCGAGCCCGGATTCGTCTCCACCCGCGCTTCCTCTAAAGCAATCCCAGCCAGCGCCCGCCGACTCCGGCGCCCTCGGCCCTTCCCGCGGCCGGCCAGCTCCGCGGGCGCACTGACCAACGAGGGACAACGGCCGGACGGGCCGCGGCGGACTCACCGCGCGCGGACTCCGCTCGGGCCAGTGCCGCTCCGTCATGGCGGCGCCTCGGTTTGAGAGCCAGCTCAGCGGCCGACGCGCGGACTACAACTCCCAGAACCCCGCGCGCCGCGGGAGGCCGCCATTGGCCCGGTAGAGGCGCGCAGAGTCGTCCTCGAGCGTCGCGCGCCGCGGGTCTCCCTGACGGAGGACAGGGTGGTAACTCGCGGGGCTGCGCGGGCCAATCGGAAGCCGCTCAGAGTTCTTCACCCCCGCAGCGCCCCAGAGTTACCCTGGACAGGTTCGGTCGCCATGGCAACGGGGCAAGCCGCATCGCAGCGAGGTTGCGGGGGAGACGGTTGGGTAGGAGGATGGGCGGGGCTGCGTGAGGGCCGCGGTCAGACTCTCTCTTTGCGGTGTCCAGGTCCGCCCGCAAGCCAGAAATGCCAATTAAACAACGTGGCGTTTCGTTTGTTCGCTTCACTGTAGGAGAGTCTCACATTGAGCATGCTAACATATTTTTATTTTTTAAATTTATTTATTTTTAAAGATTTTGTTATTTATTTGACAGAGATCACAAGTAAGCAGAGGCAGGCAGAGAGAGCGGAGGAAGCAAGCTCCCTGCTGAGCAGAGAGCCAGATGCGGGGCTAGATCCCAAGGTCCTGGGATCATGACCTGAGCCACTCAGGCGCCCCACGTTAACATATTTTTAAAATACACGTCTGTTTTAGTAGAATAGGTGCCAGAATAGGATTACTAGATTTCGCAAATAAATGATACAAGAGGCACAGTTAGACTTAAATGTCAGATAACAACGTTGCTTTTTAGTATTACTGTTTCACAGTGTATTTTTTAAAACCTAGAAAATAGATGTATAGTAGTATATGTAATTTTCAGTGTAGCCATGTCCCACAGTAGGGTTACCAGAGTTAGTAAATAAAAATGCAGGATGCCCCCCTGAATTTAAATTCCAAGTAAACAATAAATACTTTAGTATGAGTGTATCCCATATTTATTATATTTTAAAATCTTTTTATAATAAATAGAGTATAAGTATTTTTTTATATATTTAAGTGTCAGAATAGGGTTGCCGAATTTAGCAAATAAAAATACAGGACAAATCCTAGCTAAACTTGAATTTCAGAGGAGTGATTTTTTTTATTATAAATTTGTCCCAATAGTATATTTGGGATATACTTATACTAAATAATAATAGTAAGGGCACCTGGGTAGTTCAGTCATTGAGCATCTGCCTTCAGCTCAGGTCATGATCCCAGGGTCCTGGGATGGAGCCCCACATCCAGCTCCCTGCTCAGCAGGAAGCTTGCTTCTCCCTCTGCCACTCCCCCTGCTTGTGTTCCCTCTCTCCCTGTGTCTCTGTCAAATAAATAAATAAAATCTTTAATAAATAAGTAATAATAGCAAATACTATGGTAATTATGAAGAATATATCTTATTTGTCCCAGTATTATATTTGGGACTTTTTTTTTTTTTTTAAGATTTATTTATTTGACACACAGAGATCACAAGTAGGCAGAGGGACAGGCAGAGATATAGAGGGGGAAGCAGGCTCCCCGCTGAGCAGAGAGCCCAATGCAGGGCTCATTCCCAATACCCCGAGATCATGACCTGAGCCAAAGGCAGAGGCTTTGACCCACAGAGCCACCCAGGTGCCCCTATTTGGTACATATTTAAACCAAGTTCTAATACCAAATACTCTTCTAAATACTAATACTATATTTTACTCTAAATACATTCCAGTAGTATGTTTGGAACATACTTATACTAAAGAATTATTTATTGTTTATTTTAAACTCAGACTGGGGCCTGGCTTAACCCCAGGTGGTCAGAGGGACACTTGGCTTCCCAAGGTCCTCCTTGTGGGCCAAGATGTTCACTCAGGGCCACCCAAAGTGGACCGCCAGCTAGGCCGCAGGAGCACATGAGGCCACCGGCCAGGGGCTAAAGGAAGGACAGAAAACATCCTGGGCCTCCTGGATGAGGACCTCCATAGCTCTCAGACTGGGGGTAAGGTAATGATTCAAAGGGGTTTCACAGCTCTGGGACTGGGCTCAGGGTGGCAGTAGCTGCCCAGTGCTGAGATGCAGTAGTAGGAGGATGCAAGTGGGGTTGGGGAACCTAACAAAGGATATGGGAGGCCCACCTCTGGGAGCCTCGGACTGAATGCCATTTATCCGCTGGACAGCAGTGCCTGCTTGGTGCTGTTCAGGGGTGGGGGATGAGCACATCAGTGAGCAGGACTAATGTGGCTTTGGCCTTGAAGGGCCCGCAGTTTACACCCCAGGAAACAAGTAAAGCAGATGCTTGCTGGAAGTGTAAGTGCCTTAGAGAAAATAAAACTAGGTGTGGACATATACAATCTCGGGAGGGGCAAGAGGAGCCACTTAGCTGGGTGGTCGGTGCCGTGCCTCTGTCTCATCTCTTGCTGGCTGCTGGTCCCTGGAGTGTTGTATTCAGGCAGGCACTGCTGCGTGCAGAAGCCACAGATGGGACAATCAAATCCAAGTGCCGAGGACTTACTATATGCTCCAGTGACATTGAGTTTCCTGGCTCATTTTCTTGGTAGCAGAAATTGGCCTGACCTTTTGGCCTGACTTACGCATTCATAACACTGCAACGCACCTCAGAAGTAGAGAACATTCACTTAGTTTGTTTCGAGAGCCAGAGGGAAAGACGTCTCATCATCAGGCAGTTTGAATGCTAGATCCACTGGGAGGCAGTCTGGTGCCAGGCACAGGTTTCCAAACATTTTGTAAGCAGCAGAAACTTTTGTTCCCAATGACACAGGTAAATCTCAATTTAAAAAGTAAGTTGGGGGGGGTGCCTGGGTGGCTCAGTGGGTTAAGGCCTCTGCCTTCAGCTCAGGTCATGATCCCAGCGTCCTGGGATCGAGCCCCCCATCGGGCTCTCTGCTGCGGAAAGCCTGCTTCCTCCTCTCTCTGCCTGCCTCCCTGCCTGCTTGTGATCTCTCTCTGTCAAATAAATAAATAAAATCTTCCAAAAAAAAAAAAAAAAAAGTAAGTTAGGGGGCAAAAAAAAAAGTAAGTTAGCCAGAAGCCTTACTGCCCTGCCAGGGGCCGGAAGGAGGCAGAATGGAGAGCACAGCAGTAGGCATCGGGTTCCTTTTTAGGGTGATGAAAATGTTTTGGAATTAGCGGTGACAGTTGCAAAACACTGTGAATATACTAAAAAGCACTGAACTATACACTTTAAATGGTTGTGTTTTATGCTGTGTGAATTATACATCAAAAACATATCAGTAAAAGAAAGCAGAAGTGTCTGGGTTGTAGGAAGATCTGGTGCGGCTGTATCACACGAACAAGGTGCCTCTGGGACTTGAAACCAGATACGAAGTTTTAAAATTTTTTGTGGGAAATATTTGAGGATATTTAAGTTTTGGAATACATTCGGCATCTTCTAGCTCAGTCGACCATCTGCACGCCCCGGGACCAAGCGTCCCCACCTAGGAACGCTCTGGCGTCGCTGTCGGAAAAGCCGAACACGCACCAGCGGAGGAGGGCTGCGCTGTGCTCTGTTTGCGCTGTGGGATATTCTGTACCAGCGAGAAAAACGTCGTCTACAGCAGAGGCCAGAAGGCTTTTTTTGCAAAGGGCCAAATAGTGAATATTTTTGGTTTTGTTGGCCATATGGTGTCTGTCACAGAGACTCGGCTGTGCTGTTGCGGTCGGAAAGCAGTCATAAACAATACTCAGAAAGACAGGGTTGGCTGTGTTCCACTAAAACTTGGTGCTTTTTTTTTCCCTTTAGGTGGGACTGAAGTCATGACCTTGACATTGTGAGCTGCATGCTCTACTGACTTAGCCAGCAAGCCAGGCATCCCTCCAAGAAAACCTTATTTATCAAACTAGGCAGTGTTTTACCTTCAGACTGTAGTTTATGGAGCCTGAAGTCCAACATGGGTGAGACTTTGCCTGTTCTAGAACATCCTACCCCCAGATGGCGGATGGGGCCTGGGCTCTGACGTCAGCTCCTCAGAGCGGCTTCCCCCACCCCCTGAGCTGAAGCGGCCCCACCCTGCCGAGCTCTCTCAAGTCTCCTCTGCTTTGTTCTTCCCTGCACCTTTTGGTTTTTAGACTAGTTTTGTGGTGACTTGTTTCACTGACTTTACTCTACAAAAGGAAGTCTCTTGTGGAGGAGACCAGCTCAAGGGCAAATAAGGGTTGTATGGAGGACCCAGAACACATGGGGAAACCAAATTCCTGGTGGGTTTTCCAGGTCACTGTCCACCCTTGCCTTTAGGAGTTGGTGGAGAAGGCGGCATATCAGCCGAGCCCCCGAGACCAGAGCATCTTTATATTAACACAGTATGCTGTAGTTATCACCTGTTTTTTGTTTTT